GAGGATTAACTCAAGTATTCCATATTTCTCCATTCTCTGCACATCAAATAAGTAGTTTATTGACAGTGGGTTCCCTAAAATGTCCCTTATCTTTTTAATAATATATATAATAGGTATACTATATATATACTTATTATGTTATCAGATAGAAATATATTATGGCAGTGGATATATATACTTGATCACTATCCTATTATAGATAATATATTATATGACACACATATTACGACTTATAAAGGCACTGTAATGACCGGTTCCGCTATATGGATTTTAATAGTGAAATAACAATGAATTGCGGGTAATAGCGAGATACAGCACATTGTGAAATTAACCTAGTACTAGCTCAATTTAACAAATTGCAAAATAACAATTTGAAGCATTGTTATCAATCCATTAAAAAAATTCATAAATCCTAATGAGGAAGTAATGAAATCAGTGTGGCAAACCCACTAGCAACTTTGCAAGAAATGAATATCGAATCATGCAAGTGACTTGCAAATATTTGTCATTTCAATTTCAAAATAAATACCTGGGCAGTTGCCATGTTCAAAATCAGAATTAGTGCGAACACTGTGATACTTATTACGCAAACATTTACATTTGCATCACAGAAAATTGCATATTAAAAATACTTTCAAATTAACACAGACAATAGTAGAAACAGAAGAAATTAATTTTCAAAGCGTTTGAAACAACTGTTTTTAAGTAAAAAAAGTTAATAATAACCCTTAATTTTAACAAAAAGTGTATGTCCTTTGTATATGAATATAAAGTAAAAATCAAATAGACATGCTGGAAACATCACTTCCAGATGAATCACGCAATTGCTGCATAGTTTCTCAAGTCGAGGAATGGATAGGATGCGCATCATTATTCTTCGAAACTTACGATGACAATCCATCAGGTCACAGCGATTCATCAGAAACTCCAGAAGTATCAGCTTGTATCCTTAGCGGAAACTGAAATTAACATTGCAGATATTTGAATTATTACGATCGAACTAGTAGTTTTGTCTTTGACAACGAATACCGCAAATTAGGAACATACATAAGAACGCCGACTTGAATCATTTCATCCAAAATAATCTTTTCCCCTGCTAGACACGTGTGGACTGAACGTAAGACGTTACCGGTCCCCGCCTGTTTGAACGCTATATGCACTTTCGCTGTCTTCTATCGGTAGAGGTGATTCGTGAATCCAATACGAAGAAATGAAATTATTCACGCTCGCATGAATTGATCTATACCACTCTAGCTCCCTTCAGTATCGCTATACAATCAACTGTGGATGTTAAAATCCGATATGCTTAGTGGGCCTTTGCTATACGTTGAAATTAAGTGGCAAACAAATGCTGTAGCAAACTACATACCATCCGAAAATTCGGGAGAAGCGGGGCCCGCTCTTTCTTGAGAGCAGCGGTGGGCGTGAATTGGGGGGGGGGGGGGGGAAAGCGTAGGTTTGAATTGATGCCTATCATTTTCACACAAACTATACCGCGACCTGAGTAGGTCTTGTAATAAGAGAGAACGCGCCACTCAGTACAGGCGAACCTACCACAAGTAAGAGCACACGAGCAATTGCAGCCACACTGCAGCCACACGAGAAGCCGAACGTCCGCACAACATTGTACGTAGAATAGAAGATGATGCTTGAGTTTCAGCTGGCTTTTCCACGATGATTTCATGTAACGTTGCTTGCCATGGCTTGCCAACCCGACTTATTCTGGTGGGCTAAAACAGGCGGGGAACAGGACAGCACGTCATGGACAGAAACTGAGTTATTCCACGCATGGTGTAAGAATTTTTTTGCGTGTTTGCAGATGCTAAAAATCTCACACTTTCATAGAAAACATCACCATTTTAAGCAGACTTGAAACGGTTTCTTTATTACGTAAATATTAGGAGTTTGCAAAATTAGGTGAGAAGTATGTTTTTCCTAATTTATTCTGTGATCCGCATCATTTCAAAAATATTACCAATTATTGTTTGGTGAACATACCACTATTCGGCGTCGCATCATGTTTAACACATCTTTTCAAGCATCTTACCTTTTGCCTAGAGAAAAATTGAAACAGATAGTTTCATTTAAATGTCTGAACAGATGTCTTTAAAGTATGTAATATAAGCTTTTTCCAAACATATTATTTAACATATAGAAAGGCTCCTACACAACGTACCAATTTGTCCGAGCAGAACTGGCCAGTCAATTATAGTCACTACTTGCCACGAGTGGAAGGTGGAGGCAAGTTGTATCTCAACAGCATACTTTTTACGAGTATAATGACGGGTGTAATTTAATGTATTAAAATTTCTCCATTTTTTCGTCTCTCGTAACTTTCCCTGTTCTACTTATCATATTATTCTTACTTTTGTATTTTTATTGTACAGTTTCTATTGTGCAAGATGGATTTTACAGAAGGCAAACTGTGTCATGCTACGTTTTTGTGCGAGCTTAGGCGAACTTTACCGTTGTAGCGAATTCGCTATCACTTAAATAGGATAGAAACGCACTATTTATCAAAAATTGTAAATACATATAAACGATCCATATATAAAATATCGTCACTTGTAATCATAAATGTTCAATCCCTCGCACCCGTAAACGTAGGCTTTGTCACAAATTACTGCTCGTTTTCCAATTGTATTAGAGTACCAGTAACTTGTGAGAAACAGAAACTCTGTTTCTTGGGTAGAATTTCATTTGCGAACTGACTGGGCATTTCACTTATACTATTAGTGATTACTATTAATATTATATTAATTAATATGATTGTAAAACGCGGATTGCCCGCGTTCTCACAAAGTTAACGGTGAATTTCACTTATAATTTTGTTGGCTTATACTTTGTCAATTGGTCCCTGAACACGACGTTCAACATATGCTAACGTAGAACCATGGGTGAATGTTAATCTATGGTAGCACGTTGAACGTTGTTTTTGACCGTGATTATCATCTATATTATATAGAGCTCACCGTGTTAAATAGCAGAATTACGCGCATGGTCGCCAATGGCAGGGTTTTAACGAAACCAGAATAATATCTCGGTTTCCACCTTCGATCATGTATACAGAATATACCGGACGCGTGTCAAGCGATCGTGGTCGAGCAAGTGCTTAGGTGCTAGCGATCATGTGCAATCAGTGGCACCGACCGTAGAAAAGTCGCGAATGCTATGGAAAAAGAAGCGGGACGGAAAACTGGCAGTTTTGGGAGGTGTTTTTGTTCTGCAAAAACGCAGATGTTCTCTGGACACGGCGGTGTACAGAAAAACCAACACATACGGACAGGTATTTGATAGCAACTGTCAACCCCCCCAAGCCAGAAGGAGCAAACGATTGAAACCGTTTTGATCGCGCAACCCGTTTATGTGAATGCAGATAACATAAATTGAATCCAAAAAAGAATACTGCGACAATGACCAGCACTCATAAGCTGAGTCTTGCAAACCCTTGTTTAATAAACTAAGGATTCTTCTCTACCATGCATGTACATATTTGAAATAGTTGTCTTCACAAAAGAAAAATTCTCTATGGAAAACAAGCCACTTTTACTTTAATTCTGGATGTACATAACTACAACACCCCGTAAAAGGATAACCTACACGTTCCCCTCACTCTGAAACTACACTTTAATCAAAAAGTACCCTAATAGAGGGCATTACCCTTTACAACAAACTGGCAATGATATCAAAGACATACACACAAATTCATACATTTAAAAGTAAATTGAAAAGCTTTCCTGCCTTAACACATGTTCTCCAGTGTAAAGGAATTTTCAAATTACAACATTTCCCTTAAAAAAATATAAATAAATTAAGAATTTTTATTCGATTACACTTTTTGTTTCATGGAAACTGTTTCAAGCTTTGAAAGCAAAGAAAAAATAACTGCATATCACCATCCTGTGAAATTAGAAGGCGAATAGAAGAAGAAAAAACTGGTGCAAAACTTCTCCTCACCATTTTCAAGTTATAAATATAGAATGTACTACTATTGTTAAAATTGATCGTAGTTGGCAAACACATTGATATGTATTACTATGTTATTATTATTATTAATGTAATTATTATTATATAATTATTATAAAAGTAGTAGCATTACAATATCAATTCAAATGGTTAATTATTAGCAGATAATTTATCTACTGTATAATATCTTAATCTAACTGTAACAAGTATTGTATTTCTAGCCAATGACCCATCATATCTGATTCACATAAACGGGTTGCGCGATCAAAACGGGTTTCAATCGTTGCTCCCTTCTGGCTTGGGTGGTGGTTTGACAGTTTGTTCAAATACCTGTCCGTATGTGTTGTTTCTCTGTACACCGCGTGTCCAAGAGAACAGTCTGCGTTTTTGCAGAACAACACCTCCAAAACTGCCAGTTTTCCGTCCCGTTCTTTTTCCATAGCATTTCGCGACTTTCTCGGTCGTGCCACTGTATGTCACATGATCGCTAGCACCTAAGCACTGCTCGACACGATCGCTTGACACGGTCACGGTATATTCTGTATACATGATCGAAGGTGGAAACCGTATATTATCTGGTTTCGTTAAAACCCTGCCATTGGCGACCATGCGCGTAATTCTGCTATTTAACACGGTGAGCTCTATATAATATAGATGATATCACTGTTCAAAACACGTCAACGTGCTACCATAGATTAACATTCACCCATGGTTCTACGTTAGCATATGTTTGAACGTCGTGTTCAGGGGACCAATTGACAGAAGTTATAAGTCCACAAATTATAAGTGAATTCACCGTTAACTTGTGAGAACCGCGGCAATCGCGTTTTACAATCATATTATTAATATAATATTAATAGTAATCACTAATAGTATAAGTGAATGCCCAGTAGTTCGCAAATGAAATTCTACAAGAAACAAGAGTTTCTGTTTCTCACAAGTTACTGGTACTCTAATACAATTGTAAACGAGCAGTAATTTGTGACAAGCCTACGTTTACGTGGAGGATTGAACGATTTATGATTACAAGTGACGATATTTTTATATTTGTGCGTTCATATGTATTTAGAATTTGAAAATAGTGGTTTTATCCTTTTAGTGATAGCGAATTCGATAACGTTAAGTGCCTTAAGCTCTCCAAAACGTACATGTTGTTGCCTCTGAATGCCATTGCAAAGAAATGTAAGAATAAAATACAAAAGTAAGAATAATATGTAAGTAGAAGGAAAGTTCAAGAGAAAATGGAGAAATTTTAAAATTAAATTAATCCGTCTTTATATTCGTAAAAGTTCTGTTGTACAACTTGCCTCCACCTCCACTCGTGGCAGTTAGTCTTCTTGACTGGCCTGTCTGCTCGACAAATTGGTACGTGTGTAGGAGCCTTTAATATTTAAATAATATGTTTGGAAAAGCTATATTTACATACTTTAAAAGTACATCTTTCAAGATTTAATTAAACTATCGTTTCATTTTTCTCTAGGAAAAGGTAGATGCTTGAAAAATGTTTAAACATGAGCACGCGTAGGGTATTTCCCAAACAATAATTGGTAATATTTTTGAAATGAGTCGGATCAGAATAAATAGGAAAACATACTTCTCACCTATTTTCAATCCTATATTTCGTAAAAAAAACGTTTCAAGTCGCTTAAAATGGTGATGTTTTATGAATAGTGTGAGATTTAGCATGGAACACGCAAAAAAATTCTTACACCATGCGTGGAATAACTCAGTTTCTGTCCATGAGGTTTCTTTCCTGTTCCCGCCTGTTTGCACCAGAATAGCGGGTTGGCAAGCATGGTCAAGCAACGTTACATGAAATCATCGTGGGGAAACCAGTTGAAACTTGTTCGCTTCTCGTGTGCTGCAGGTGGCTGCATGCTCGTGGTCTTTTGGTAGTCGCGTACTGAGTGGGTCCTCTTATTCAGTGCTTCAGTTCGGGTATAGTTTGTGTGAATATGGCATCAATTCAACCTACGCTTCCCTTCAACGCCACGCTGCTCTCAAGAAAACGGCCCCATTCTCCCGATTTTTCGGATGGTATGTAGTATTTGTTTGCACTTAATTTCAACGTTGCAAAGCCCTAAGGATATCGGATTTTAACATCCACATTGTTTGTATAGAAGAAGGAGCTAGGAGTGGTATAGATCATTCATGCGAGCGTAATAATTGTCATTTTACGTTCGTATTGGATTCCGAATCACCTCTACCGACTGATGAAGACAGCGAAAGTGCATATAGCGTTCAACAGGCGGGGACCGGTAAGTCTTACGTTCAGTCCACACGTTCTAGCGAGGGGAAAAATTATTTTGGATGAAATGATCAAGTCGGTCGTTTCTTATGTATGTTCCTAATTTGCGGGTATCGGTTAAAAAAATAGTTTGACTAGTATAACACAATATGTATGTTTAATTTTCAGTTCCGCTAAGGATACAAGTGATACTTCCTGGAGTTCTGATGAATCTGGGAGCACGATGTTAAGTTTGAAGAATATGATGGTTACATCTATCATTCGCCTGAGAAATAATGAGCAATTGTGATTCATCTAGGAATGATGTTAGCAATCTATTTGATTTTTACTTTTATTCACTGTTCCAGAAAACATGAACATTTTTGTTAAAATTAAGGGGTTTTATCAATTGCTAGATACAGTTGTTTCAACGTTTGAAAATTAATTTCTTTCTGTTCCTTTTATAGTTTGTTAATTTGAAAGTATTAATATGCAATTTTCTGTGATGAAATGTAAATGTTGCGTAATAATTATCACAGTGGTTCCCAATTGATTTGACATGGCACTGCCAGGTATTTATTTGAAATTGAATGACAAATATTTGAAGCACTTGCATGATCATATTCATTTCTTGCAAGTAGCTAGTGGTGCACACTGATTCATACTTCCTTATGATTATAATTTTTTTAATGATTGATAAATGCTTCAAAATTGTTATTTTGCAATTTGTTAAATTGAGCTATTACTAGGTTAATTTTACAATGTGTGGTAATCTTATACCGCAAATTCATTGTTATTTCACTATTAAAATCCATTATAGGGTAAGCGGTCATTAAGCCTTTATTAGTGTAATATATGTGTGTCATATATATATATATATAAAAAAGATAAGGGACATTTTGGGAACCACTGTCAATAACTATTTATTTGATATGCAGAGAATGGGAGAAATATGGAATATTGAGTTAAATCTCGAAATTGTTTAGCGGCATTCTTATCAATGCATACTGCTAGATATGGTTTAGTTTTTAGTTTTGGGAGTTTTTTGTGGAGGTTTATATAATGGGCATTCAATGAAGATTCTGTTTCATGCCGTGTATGAATTTCACCTCTTAGTAGCTTTGGAATGTTTCAAGAGTTTCATGAAATTTTGCAATGCTTTATTGATGACTTTTGAGCTTGCCGAATTGATTCTTTGTTAAAACTGTCTTGTAGATCTTGAAGTTACACGCTTTCCAGGGATAATGCATTTATACTCAGAATGCAAAACTGGCGTTGCTAACGCCTTATAACAAACACGTTTACTACATTCACCAATACTATTCTTATTATAGGGAGGATATAATAACCGGCTGAAAGAAGCAAAGCTATTGGAACTTCTGGAGTGCTTATTGGTTCATCTTGGGCTGTGATTAACTAATACCAGAATGACTCTGGGAATCTTTTGTCAATAGTTTTGTTATTGTTATTACATTCTCATTATTTACCTTGTCAGTTTCTTGTTGGTGGTGCATTTTCTGTATTGTTTAATTGTAAGAATGATTTGACGTTCTAGACACACATTCATTGCAATTCTCTAACCAAAATCTGCATTGTCCTGTTAAGAGAAAGATTGTTTGTAAATAATAGATTGCAATCCAGTATTCAGTTTTCTTTACATACGATTTTTGTTGTAAACTGAAGAAAATACAACCTCATTGTAATTAAATAAGCTAGTTACTAACATGGACTGTTCAGAAATTCAATCTGAGGAGTGATGTTCAGGTCTTGTTTTCAGAATGTTGATCTATAATTTTACTTTGATTTAATATATTTCTAAAGTATAACTTATTAGTAAAATTCTTGGGGATTGGCTGTTGTGTAGGTAAACCAAAGAAAACTATATATTGCTAGTGGCGTATATACATTAGATACAATGGACATTAGATACAGATCCCATGGACATGTGTATTGTATTGTCAAATATTTTTGTCTAAGGCTAAGGGAAAGGCTAATTTTAGTGATTGATTTGTCTGCTGTTTTGTATTGAAGTTTTGCAAGTCCTGTGTTGAGGGTTAGCTATTGGCAGTAGAATTTCAATTCAAATTTTTAGCAGTTTTTGAGACTGGTTTAATTCATTAGGGAAGGAGTTTCCTTGACTTGTGGGTTGTTTAATTGGTTGATGATTTCCATAAACAGGTGTACACAGAATTCAAACACGAATGACTGTTGACGAACTCACTGTTGGGGTGTGTGTGTGTCTAATTTGTTGTCTAGTAGATTCTTGTTTCTTAGCTCTGTTGGTTATCCATTCCTAAATTAAATGGAGTAGGTATTGAAAATGGATTTTGCTTTGAAGAGATTTTGTGTTGTACTTAGAACCGTCAGTACAGTACCATAAAATTTTCTGTAGGAGTTTTATTCATGTATATATAGTACTAGGAGTAACTTGTTGAAAAATATGGAACAATTTCAAACTCCCCTTTTGTTAATTCACTATAATGAATAGTAGAATACAATTGAATTTCTTTAATTCTGAATTTAATTGGGGCACACATAATGAAGAGCACCTCAAATCAAAATTAATTTGGGGAAACCTTACCTATGTACATGTAGTCTTCTGCGGCTAGAGTTCATGACTTCTTGGCTGTCCGGGTGATGCTGCGTCGTTGATTGAGAGGCTGATGTTTCACCTGTCATTTTTATTTTCCTATCCCCCCAAAAAATTAGTAGGATATCCTTCAACAAAAAGTATGTGTATGTAAAGAAATTTCTGTATTCATTTGCTCAAACCTATCATACAATCCAGAAAACAAAGAAATTTGTTATATTGTAGTAAAGGTTTAATCTTGAAAAAGTATTGAAGTGGAACTCAAAAATTGATATACTTATCCATTTGAGAAAAACAAAGAAAGAATTCTGGAAGTCCATGTAGGTCTGTGAATCCTTATGGTGGTGGTGGAGGGGGCAGATATGCACAAAGGAATATTCTCTTGATGTTATAAAATGAAAAGATGCTTTATAACTTGGGAAATTGTAAGCAAGAATCCAATTTAATATCATCCTATACCTCTGAAACATATTGTTAAGTTTCCAAACCTTAACGATGTAATTCGGGAAAACCTCCCCACAAAGGAACAGCAATAGGTTTTGTGTTAACTTGGCATATTTTTACCTTGTGAAGGTGTGGGTAAGTGATTTCCAAGGTGAAGGAAATCTAGAAACAAATTTTGGTAGTCTGCTTTTTAGTGTGGTTTTCTCCCTAAATTGATTTATATTATTGTTGAACAGGAAATGCTGTATACTGCTACTGCAGCAACTGTGTTAATGGCTGCCCACCTCCGTGAAGATAGAGACTTGTGGGCTGATAGTTCTAGTTCAAACTTGGATTCTTCAGACAGTGAAGTGCCTCTGGCAGATTACTGGGAATGTGTGCGATGTAAGAGAAAATGCACTCCTTTGACCAGATATTGCGTCAAGTGCTTCCAGGTGAGTGAGAGGAAGAAAAATTCACTTGTAGTTGCACCAATTTTTCTGGTGTCATCTTGATTTGGAGGGGGGGGGGAATTCGTTGTGCAGGTAAGAATCTTGGGAGGAACAGAAAATTTGTAGGATGCAGTGATATTCAAAGGAATTGTCAATTGGTTTGTTAGGTTTATTAGCAAATACTGTATGTGTGAAAGACGTCTGCTTTTGTATTGGGGAATGGTTTAGATTGTATTACGTATATTTAATTTGCAGATCAACTTTTGCGGTGAACTTTTTGGACTATCAGAGGACTTCTTTTGTTGTCGTGCTTAGAAACCTGGAGATTTTTTTATTGTGCTCTGCAAAATTTATTTTTTATTTCAGCATGTAGACATGGTTGGATTTGCTTGTGTGGAGCTCTCATTTGCCAAATAAAATGCCTACTCTGCATCAATAATACAACTGCAGTATAGGTTGGCTGAATTATGCCAGAATACTGAATTTCCTCTTTCTTTTAGCAAAATAAAATTGCAAAAATGTGAAAAGATCGTGAAAGTATAATATACCTTTTCATGTTTCAAAAATAGGGTTTTATTCTTTGTGGTGAAGGGACTTACCAGCCACAGAAATCGGTTTCACTCGGCAATTTTTAATGGCTGTTAATTTAGCCCCTCAGTCGAGTGATTCTGATTTGTTTTGAACACAGATCGAACAGAAGTCAGAAACAAGCGATTTCTAAACGTGTGTACCATCGGTGTACCATCTGGTGCATAAATTGAGAGCTCTGATGCAATGTACCCTCTTCCTAAATTCACAATTTTAAGCCTCTGCAGTCATGCTGTGAATAAGGTATTGATCTCACCTATCACATGCGTGAAAGTGTACTGCTGAAGGAAATATTTGTTTTATTTTGTGCCGAGTTTTAGTTGTGTTAACTTTCTTATTATTTTGTTATTTTTGACTGCCAATCTGATCTAAAAGATTGTTATTTGGAGAGCCTCATCCTGTCCTTGGTCCTTTCCATCTCTTTGAAGAGAAGTGTCTCAACTGCTTGTCTGATCCGTTTAGTTGCGGAAGGGTTACTTTCCTGAACGTCCAAAGCGGACTCACCCGCGTCGGAGGAAGAGGGCTGCATCTTCGCGACCAGGCACTGCTTTGGCAGACCCGCCACGGAACGTGGTAGATTTGGAGCAAGCACAGTCCTCAGGAAGCCAGTCAGCTGAAGAGCAGCCTGTTGGCAAGCTCGAAAAGGGAGACAGTGGCATAAGCTTGGGTGTGAGCGATGAGCAACTTGCACCCGAGTGCGCTAGCTCTTCCCAAAGCTCTTCCCTAGTGCAGTTGAGGAGCCAGGACTCGGCCCCTCCAGAAGATGCAGATAGAGAGTCACTATCCCCTAGATCTGAGCTCTGTTTTATGTGTGTCAATAGACCAAAAGATGGTGCTTTCATTCACAGTAAGTCAGTGCACGTTTTGTGCTGTTACCAATGTGCACTAAAAGTGTGGAATGAAACTAAAAAGTGTCCAATGTGTAACAACAGACCGCATAATGTCTTGAAGTTAGTTTTTGGTTAAAGATGGGATTAATGTGTAACTGCATTTGGCCTTGTAATAAAAAAAATCAAAAGCTATTGTATCAGTAAGAGATCATCCATAATGTATTGTGCGATTATTTCCGAGATTGAACTGAAAGCAAGTTATCCCTTTAAATTTCCCCAAGTCCTTTACTTACATGTACATTCAGCACAGGGTATATTAATGGAGATTGTGGATATATATTATCTATTATACGGGAAGTTCAATCAAGATGTTTACTTAAAGAAATTTGTAATTGGGTGTGATATCTGTAAAATCAAGTTGATGTATGGTATTACCATGGTTCCTCAATGTTCGTGTAAGTTGTTATATGACTTGTGGTTAAGCTGATTATATTAATATCTTGTTTTTTGGATACTATCCAAAGAATCAACTTTCTTACTGAGTCGTATTTTAGCGACGAAAGTCGGGTATGTCGAGCCTGGTGTGCTTCTCTTGAGAAAGATAAATTACTATTGTCATGCATTTTGCAGAAAAAGTTGTTAGAAATTTCAGCTGATAAAGAAGTGGATGGTTGAATTTGAGTGTTGCTCTTGTGTTTCATATGGACGCAACGGATATCAGCTGGATCAACTAGTTTTCTGTGAGAATGAAAGCCTATGTTTTTTTGATATGAAATATAAACGTTAGATTTTTTTTTATGGTGGTAATTTGGTTTTGTTTTGGTTTTCCTTCAGCCCTTCTCTAAATTCTGTCTAAGTTCTGATTGTAGAAGCTAATGGAGTGGCAAATGATTCTAGGAATTGTCCGTGGTGTATTACATCTGCTCCTATAATCGATGCAGTAATGCATTGTTAATCTTCAATGTGTGTCAATGTAATCAGGAGAGATCATATAAAAGTTTTACTGGTGTGGAAGAGAGGGAGACTTCATTGATATTGGAGTGACTTAATTGTTTAATAAAATGAAACTTGGTTGTTAGGAAGTGTTCACTTTCGTGAAATACATTTCTAAAATAATTATTTCATTTGACAAGATATGGTTCTTCTAAATAAGGAGTGGAGAAATTAGTCTTGATATGTAACGGATGTAGTAATTAGAAAGTAACTAGGAAGAGAAAAGCAGGCAAGTTGTCATTCCTCCCCGTAGCATTCCAGAATCTTTGAAGAAAAAGAAATCATTTCTAATGTATAATTAATGTTTCTTGGATGTTAATTAGGTAAGGAAGGAATTTTGACATTGTCAGTTTTTTATTTAATATAATTTTAGGTTTTTTTTGTGATTCAAGAATTTGGTTCAAATTTCTGGTTAAACTAACTGCGTGTACTGCTTTTCATCAGTATTTGAAAAAGTAATATATGCATTTTCTGAGCAGAAGGAATTAACAAGAATAGGTGTGCTGTTTTGTATTGCTAATGCCTATAGGAATTCGTGAGTTAAATATAATTAATTAAGCTCTGCAAGATTTTGACGTTTTTTTTTAATGGTGAATTTATGGTTTAACTACTTTTGACAAACTCTGTCAACTGAACGATGTTGCTTTGGAACATCGAATCTGTTTGTTCAGCATCAACTTCGACCTTAGAAATTGCTCTCGCAATTTGGAACCAGTTTAATCATGTGAAATGTCGTTTTGGTACACAAAACGCTCTCCACTGTCCTGTATAGCTTGATGAAATGACAAAAATTACGCTTTATTCAGAAAACATCGCCCGACGAACACTTAAATTCGTTAGCTGCTACAGGAGTTGCCTTTAATTTTGTTCAGGTGAGCGGGCCTATGCGTGAAATTGTTTTTATCCATGCCTTGGAGCTGTCCAAGAATTTTCAACTTTTTGGAAATTGCTATGAGCTAACTTGTCCCTCTACCATGGTTTACATGATGGAAGATACAATTGTGACAGGGATTTCCTCGCGCGCTATTTCAAATTTGTAATTTGGCGAGAGGCCAAGAAATTAACTGCAAATGCAAATTGCAGTTATTATGTTTGCAATTTCAGTGTGTTTCTTTGTAGCATTTATACATGGGAGATTTCTAAGAAAAATTCCTCCAAGAGTTCGGGGCTTCTCTACTAAACTTGAATTCTGATGTCCACGTCTCTAAGTATTTCTTTTTGGTTGAAAATTCTGGCTATAGACTGTTTAAAATTCAAGCAATTAAGTTTGGTGAAAATTCTGATCAGGTTAGTCGCTAGCGTTTCACAAGTACGGGCAAGACAGTTATTCCGCAGTCATTTGTTTTTGGTAGGAATTTACGCGCAAAACATTGATTCGAGGGTACGTGTTAGAGGAGTATTTGCCAATACATAGACAAATGTATCCACTCATTACCGAGGGTCTGGCAATAAGATGGTTTCTTCATCGAAAACAAATTACCCCCCCGCCCCCCCGCACACACACATTTGCAAATACCATTAAGTTTAGAATTTAGATTATGGTGCGTTGGTCCATGATAGTCATACAGTGTCGATTGAGCGGATAATTAACGTTCAATTGACAATTAGTCTGCCGATTCAGGTTCAAAATAGTATTCAATATATGTAACTTCTTCGTAAATAATTTATTACGACTTAAGATGAGAAAAATTACCTATTTTTTATCCGCTCTTCAAGTTGTCGTGGGGACTGAAACTTGGAGTGGAGAACAGGGGAGAGGAGGGGGAGAGAATATGATCAGCTGGACTGTCTGGTGCTACATTTGGAGGTCAATGTTGACACTAAACAGAACATAAGTTGCTTGTGGAATTAACGGTATTATGAAAAAACGGCCTAAACCAGTTCATTATTTAAAACCAGCAATGTGATAAACATTAAATTTAATTACAAACACATGTGAAGGGAACTATTGGAATGATAGACGTACAAATGAATCTCCTTCTCTACTTGAGTTCTGGAGTTTACGTATTTCTGAACTTTTGGCCGTTGCGTTTTTTTTTTCATTCTCTTTTGTTCCCTCTCCTTCTTCATAAAACCGATATCGCTAAAATTATACTGGATTTTGTAAGAAACAATACGGCAAAAATAAAATAGATTAGTAATCCCTTCAGCGCCTCTTCTGTTTCAGTAAGGCTTAGCTCGGATTTTGCGTGTCTCAGATGTGCTTAAGCACACACTGACCCGCAAATGACATTGATTTTGAAAATATAATAAACGTCCAAATAATAATAATTAATAATGGGTCTCTGAAGCTCCGTGACCTGTTGAGTGCAGGTGCCGGAGGGATTACGCGCTGCAACTCTCTCTACGAGCCGGTCGCATGGGGGAGGGACTGTCGAGATGATGTTCCATGGGCTGGACATTTCAAACCTGAAATCTTGGAAGTTACGAAAGGTAGTTGCAACAACTTCTCTGGCGATGCTCTTTATACCCTCCAGCGCAAGTTCGAGCAAGTATTGGGCGCAAACCTATTGGTCAAGCCGCAACAATTTTATTCTGGATAAAATAGTTGCGAAGCACACTAGTGTAGTCACTCGCTTTACTGACAGACGTTCGCTGGATTATGTTAATATAGCCAAGTGTTTTCGTGCTTTTTTTATGCAGCGTAGGCATGAAGAGATGTTGACTAGTTTTCAGTGGTTTCCCAAGTTCTTCCAGTTTGTTAACTACAAGAATTTCTGTTAACTCTACATATTAATTACGAATTAGTTTTCTCACTGTTAAGGAGTTGGAGTTTTAAAATTCTTTTTACCGTTACCCTCACATTTAATGCGGAGTATAACATGAGAGAAAGTTAGTGACTACCCTGGGGGCGACGTGAACTTGTGTGTTCAAAATATGGAATGTTCATTCGCGCCCAAAAGAAATATTTGTCTACACGACAAAATGGTGTTAATTTGGCTGACATCCTGAATTAGTAATTAGCAAATATTAAGGAAAAGGCATTCAAATTCGAGTTAAGACATTAAGAAGTTCAATCAAAGTTAAGGTTACACTAATGGCACACACGTGTCATGTTTCATAGGGTGCTCGCGTGATAGCACGCCTGGAGTTCGCACGAGATATCTCGGCACTCGGTCGACCGAGCTGAAGATCGCATTTTACCTACAGTGTGTGCAGATATCTCGTGAGGTTCTATCACAATGTTCAGGCGTTCAATTTGTTTAAACTATCTTACAATTTTTCGGGAGAGAATACTGCAAGTTCTTGCAATACAAGGAAACTTGTTACAGTAATATTGGTCTGGTGTACTGGCAACTGTTACTTTTTTATTTTTTTTTTTTATTTTTGTGCTCTTCTCTATTGCCTTTTGAAGCTTGTAGCATTACAATACTAACATTTCTTGCGAATCGCGATGTTTGTATGAGTAGCGTTGAATACTAACGAACGGTGGAGGTTGAAGCCAACATTTTCTAACTACAATGGTTTTTTGGAATACGTAATGTGTTTGTGCCACCACCAGACAACAAGAGGAGTCCACCTTTTCTGACTTCGGAGAAAATTCATTGGACAATGGGGACTGTCTCAGTTGCCGCAGGGTCATGACCATAAGTCTTAAGTATTGGAAATTACCAGGTATTTCATTAAACTGATCGTTACATGACGATATTGTGTAAGTAGATTTTTTGAGGATACATTAGATTATGAAAAAAATGAGGCTTAACTAGTGTTTCCTTCGGTAAGGGTTTGGCCTTGATGAGGCACTAGTTTGTCTGTATTAACTAAAAATATGAGATGTATCGAGGCACGGATATAATTGAGTACAAAGGCTAGTGAAGCCATGCTCAACAATTTATTTTAAGTGGATTACGTATTTTCGAATATGATAAAAATGAAACATTGTAAATTACAGGATCATCAGGTTTTGCTCATCAGCCATTGGCACTACATATATTTGTTTAAGGTTTGCGCTGATCCAACAAGCACGGACACGCAGCACAAGGTAAGATTTCAGATTCAAGATTAAGAGGTAATCTCTGTATTCCGAAATTTCCCATAATTTCATTTCTCTAGATATTAGCACCCAGTAACATATCTATTTAGGAACAAAATTATCAGATTGGCAATTCGCCAATATAAAAAAATTTGAGAATAGATCCTCTCTTCGTGTCAACTCCGAATTTTTTCGTTGAAAACAAATGAATGAAATGCAAATAGGTTTAGTAACGGGGTGGGAAAAGTTACATTTCTAATTTCGCATAGGACAATTGTGTTCGCTGAAAGCTGACCATGTTGAATACATAATTTTCTCCGTATCAACAGCAGATGACACTTAAATTTCGTTGAGTCACTGGAGGCTCTACGAATCGA